AATGGTTGATTTCTTACATAGGGATGGAAACGAGAAAAGGGAGCGTTGGCCTAGTGGTTAAGGTATTTGCCCCTCAACCTGTAGATCATTGGTTCGAGCCCTAATCGGGTAACGACCATGGGTCTTCATATGACTTCAGTACTGGTTGGTTTCAAGAATCGGACTTGAAAGTGATAAATATAAGTTTCAAGAACTTGTTTCGCAATCAAGCTTAAATAAATATGTTGTTCCCAAACGAAAAACAATGTGTAAACAGTATAATCACTAAACACAATCACAAAGACATTAAATGATTGCGTACGAAGCCGAAGTCTTCTATTAGGAACTCTTTTGCTGATATAAAAACTTATAATATTAATAATATCATTCATATCAATATATAGTATAAGAGATTATATATGTCTGAGATACATTTCAAATAAATACTTTTTACGACGAACACATGATCATGACCACACTAAAATCCATAAAGAGAAACATGAATTATGTTGCTCATACCCATACTCATATAACTACTCAAAACGATCGATTGAAGCTACAAACTACTGAAAACAATGGATTTTAGGCTACAAAACCGCTGAAAACAATTGATTTTAGGCTACGAAACCACTGAAAACAATTGATTTTAGGCTATGAAACCACTGAAAACAATTGATTGATGCTACAAAAGCACTGAAAACAATTGATTTTAGGCTACGAAACCACTGAAACAATTGATTTTGGGCTACAAAATCATGGAAAAAAGAATCAACTGTTGATACTTAAAATCACTTTAAACAATCAATTATTATTACCAAACCACTTAAAACATTCGACTATTGATATGCATAACGATTTAAAACATTTAATAATTATTACAAAACCACTTAAAACAATTGATTGTAGGCTACAAACAAATTAAAGTAATCGACTGTTGTTATATGTAACTTCTTTAAGCCTTCAATTATTATCATATATCCATTTTGAAATATAGATTATATCTACAACTATGGAATTTCATTAATACACCACAAGACATCAAATAATTCTGGCAATCAATTTTGAAAGTGATATTTCTACAAGCTAACTAATAATAGTATTGGCGTTTATGTGCATCTTTATCCACTGATCTCTGTTCAGCAGCTATTCGTTGGTAGGCAAGCGATAATATAAAATCAAAATCTAATGTAGTAGAGATTTGTGTTTGATATGAAGACTGACATGTGATACGACCTATCCTGAAAAAAAAAACTTAATTAGTCCCCTACCGGTTTACCGGAGGGGACTTTAGGTTTACCCTCCGTCCGTCTGTCCGTCTGTCCGTCCGTCCACAAAACTGGATCCCGCGATAACGCAAAAAGTACTGAAAATATTTTAATGAAACTTGAAATATGGATAGATGGCAGTATGGAGATTATGCACGTCTTTTTCTTTTCTTCTTATGTTGAAAATTCTGGATGCTATGGCAACAAATAGACTGAAAATATGGCAAATTTTACACATAACCTGGATCCAGTGATAACACAAAAAGTACTGAAAATATGTTAATGAAACTTGACATATGGGTAGATGGCAGTATGGAAATTATGCACATCCTTTCCTTATCTTCCTATGTTGAAAATTCTGGTTGCTATGGCAACAAATAGACTGAATTTCAAGATTTCTTATTCTTATTTTTTAAGTTTTTTCAATATAAGTTCTTTATTTCTTAAAGTATTTTCTTCAAACTTTAAATATAAGTTGTTTGTCATCAATCATATCATATGTGACAAGGTTTACAACTCTAGCACAAAATTTATCAGAATTACCTCCCTTGAACTTAAAATTTTCATGAAAAAAACATTGTTTTTTTTAATAACTTCTTTTTCTGAATGTATCTACTTCAAACTTCATATAAATGTTTCTTATTATCACTCAACATTTGTGAGTGTTCAATACTCTAGCAAGACTATTTCCAGAATTATGCCCCTTTTGAACTTAGACTTTTTTTATGAGAAATTGGTAATTTTCGTTCTACATACACGGTACGAGCTTTTCGTGTCAAATTCAATATCACAGCTTTTAAAACAAATTTATAGTACATTTACTTAATGGTTACGAGGAACGTTAAATGTCTGCTTCAATCATTATAGAATTTTAAAAATGTTATATTTTGATAACAGGGATGTTTAAAAAATAACTTTAGAGTGTCCTTCAGTCCGTCTGTCTGTACAAAAAACACATAAAAACTGTTTCCTGTGATCACTTTTAAAGAACTTTTTCAACAAATTTACTTAAAATAGGAACATAAGTGAATGGCCAATGGCCCTTCAGAATGTTGCTTGGGCTCTTACCGGTAGGGGACTTATGGATTGCTTGCAATACTATGATAATTGCTTGTTTACCTTGCTACGACTGGAGAAGAAAGATGAGTGCGTCTGTATCATAATATATAGCCCGCATTTTTAAGCCACCTTATATAAAAAGATTGTCACGTGATACGAACTATCCTAAAAAAAGTTGTAATTTACCTTACTACGACTGGAGAAGAAAGACGAGTGCGTCTGTATCATAATATCGTCCGCATTTATACGCCACCACTGACTGTATATTTCCGCTTCCGCTTTGAGACGCCTTGAAAAAACAATATTTTACATTTGTAATATAGTCTAACTTTTTATTATTCTTTAGGTTTTTTTGTATCATTTTGATGAATTTACACAAAAGCTAAAATAATTCAAATATTTTATGGTGAAAACAGATCTATGACAGTACGTACACACGTATGCTTGTTTTTGCATTATTTGCAGACATTTCTAAGCTAGCCAGAAATGTTCTATTAACCCGACGGAATAAGAACCAGACCGCCTAAGTCATGGCAATTTGCTCATTAAAAGTGCGTTACAACTTTTTTCTCATTAAAAACCTTTCACCTCATTATCTTGTCAGTCTTGTTCATGTTCTGTCCGCATAAGCTGTGCGCATAGGGCTGTTGCGTATGCCACAACCAATTAAACTTTTACATTAAACTATGATACTTAACTTCAATGGTCTGGTTACAATGACGAAAGGATATGTGATTATTATCTAAGGAACGAGTGGGTACCTTGGCTGTGTGCAGCAGGACAATTTGGCTGAATATCATTCTTTCACGACTGCTATTTCAGCAATGCTAGCAACTTAACTCTAAGTATGATACATACAAATTTTGTTTTAAGAACACGAGGTGTTTTCAATTTTGTTATTTTTAAAACAAGTGAATTTGGATGATAAATATATGTCAATTTAGATGATAAATTTAAAATTCACCTATGCCGTTTTGTATAATGAAGAGGAAAAAAATATTCATATCATCCTTAGACAGAAATTCATATTTACACAGAGTTACGTTTATTTATTCATTAAAGAGGAAACATGGACGTGCAATAAGGGATCCACCTGAATAAGCACCTTAAAACCTATTTATCTACCAGGGCTTTTGATTTACTTGTTTATTATATTAACAATTTCCAGCAAATCAGGATTTTTAGAAACGTGTTGATCGTTTACCAACTCTTTTACCATAGTTAAACGATAACTGTCGAGCATTCAAATATCAGAAAAAGAAAAAAGTAACAATGAGTGCTAGGGAAGCGTTCAACGTATCGCCTTCCATGAAAGACTTTTCCCCATGAGATTTATCATTTGATTGGAAGACCCGTGGGATTCTATTACAAGTCCTTTTGCCCGCAAATATATGTAAAAGAACCTATGAGCAATTTCTTTGCTATATATTAAACTTATTTACATACCACATTCAAGAGCCTATGGCCACGAAAATGTTATATTCAACTTGCAAGCTTTGGGCATGCTTAGTTGCAGTCCACTTTGTGTGTGTTTATGTTTTATTAATGATTAGTGTATTGTTTTATTTAATAATAGAAATTCATTTTGATATAGTTTCATAAGGCAGAAAGTTAAACTTTAATGAAAATCTAATTAATTTTGTTAACGAACTCTAAATAATTAAATTTAATATATTCAAACCTATACACAAAGAATCCCACACCGATGACGAGGACGATTACAGAACACAGGCAAATAGCGACAATAGCCGACTGTGGTAAATCTGTAAATATATATAAATCCATTGTTTGAAATATTGACAGAAACAATATTGATTGAAACAAGTGTATAATTAAACTGTTAAAATTACCGGCGTAAATCATGGCTTGAGAAACAACACAATTGAAATATAAGATAAGATTGTCATGGAAATAATTGTTATTTAACATAACTTTTTTCTCAGAAATGACAAAAGATAGTTGTTAATTCTATTGTATCATTATTTTACAATGTATTGTCAATAATCTGTAAACTTGTCAAACAACAAAAACTACAACGACGACGGTGACAAAACCTGTATCTATCTAGTTATTTTACATTTATAAAATTACTTATAGCATAAATTAATGAGAAGACGTTTATTATCAAAGTCAAATTGCAAATGCATCTCTTAAAACTTTGCTATAATGATATCGGTTTTTTGCTTTTCATATTTGTCATTGCTCTAAAGTTATTTAGATTTGACGCGAACCTTGACACCTGACATGGTACTTATTAATTAAAAATGCATTAGTCATTTGTTGTAAAAAAATGTTTGGAATACTTAATATGTTTAAATTATTTTAACAGTCCATAAAATGTGATGAAACGCAAAATGTGTTAGTTTCTGATGGCATTCCATGAATAAAAGGGACTGCACTGAGGTTTTTCCGACACGACGAGACTGGCGACGGGATTGGAAATATTTTTCTGAAATTTGTTTATCTACTGATTAAGGTCTGGACTAATAACTTGTGTCCCTCATCCCGTTTTGCCGGAATAATATTTTTATTGTAGATAATGACAACGCCGTCCACTTAAATCCGGTTAAGAATAGCATTCAAACGAATTTTCAATTACTTCAGAGTATATTTCTTAGTTATCCTTTGCAAGGTTTCCCATTTTCAAGTGCTTGATTTACATAATAATTGTTAGGTCTTCAATTTTTGTTATTATGGCTTTTGGTCTCAATGGCGTTCTCTTAACAATAAAACTTCCTTTCGTTTACTTCTTCAAAAAATAAAAGTTAAAATTAAATTTCAAAATTAACTAGAGCCGTCAGTGATGACCCGCAACTGGGTACTTATAAAATAATTTGAAACTAAAAATACTTTACATACTGTAAACAACACAGAGCTCTCCGTTAAATCCACAAGCTGGAACGTTTGGTGGAGGGTCACCAGAGCCTGGCCAATGTATTGGAACCCCGGGGATAAACTCAAACTTATGTGTCCATCCTAAATATTGTGCAACCACCTGTAAGTTATTATAGAAATGAATTTGAAGAACAAATTAAACAAATAAGAAGGTAAAGCAGTGAAACTCAACAAATGCTTTTATATATTGAAGCGTGTGTTACGAAAATATCAAATAGTTCAATTCTAAATCTTAATAGGTTATAAAAAGTTCTTGCTTAATTTACTAAGAAAAACATATAAAAGAAGTGTTGATTTAAGGTAGTACACCCCTAATGCATTGTCTCCACTTTGAAGAGTATTCAAATAGGATAAAATCACTGTAAAGTGTATTGAAACTGAGGGGGCGTGGGTTCAAACCCCAGAAGGGGCATTTTTTTTTCTTTCTTTTTTTTCTTTTTAACATTTTTTATTAATCTCTCAGACCCCCTATGGAAGAAAAAAGTGTTTTATTTTAATTATATAATTATTGTAGGTATATATTTACTAAATAATGCCAAATTTAATAGCAAATATGATACCAGATATTTTCAAAGTTCAATAAAATAAAAACTAAACGGTAAAAGTATTTTATATTTTGCAAGATCAACCAATATACATTAAAGAAAATTTAGGCAAACTTTGAAAATAGCCCCTCATTTTGAAAAATTTTAGGGATATTTTAAATAAGGCTTTTTACATAGGGAGATGGTCAAATTAGTGTTTTAAGTGGGTGGAGTAGGGTTACATTTTTATACATATTAAAAACATTTCGTTTAAAAACAATCATTTTGCTTGTTTAATATGTTACCTAAATGTCATTATTTATTTCTTAACAATGAGCAAAAGGAATACATTTTTCATAATGATGATATTATAGATTTTTTTAGAGTTTCCTCATTTCTGAAAAAATCCCTTCTAATGGCAAAGTTTTAGTTCATAAAAATGTCCATAACTCATAAACCACACGGTAAATTTTGTTTAAATTTTGCATACAGGTGACATTTAAGGCATATAACTGTCCTATGTTGTCAAATTTACAATTCCTTATAGTGCCCATTAGGGGTGTACTACCTTAAATGCATATTGACAATGCATTTTCTGCTTGCCTTTTTGTTACAATTTTCTTTAAAGTGGATTTTTACATAAAATATTTATAATCGGGCAATCTTTCACATTTTAGTTATATATTTTTCTCTTCATATATAAAAGACCTATATAATTATACATGATGAATATTGTTTCTAGCGACAAACAAATTTGTATTAGCTAAGGACATAGTACAAATGTATATAATATAGAGCTAGATAAAAGGCTGAATTAAATTGAAATTTAATATCTGTACATAACAATTTTGTAAGTGCTAAAATTTGTAATAATGTTAAAAGCAGACTTTTAATGTTCCTCGTAACCATTAAGTTAATGTACTAAAAATTTGTTTTAAAAGCTGTGATATTGAATTTGACACGAAAAGCTCGTACCGTGTATGTAAAACGAGATTCCTTCATTTATATGAGCTTACGAAAGATATTTTTTTCGTTTAAAATTACAGCAATGCATTAGGCGCTTTAAACAAATTCAGAAGTATTCAAGCGTCTTCAGTTGTTAGGAAATCGTTATACGGTTTCAGGGAAAAGGTGAATATAAAATATCATTGAAACAAAAAAGACATAGTAAATTTCAAAACAAATGTTAACAAACAATGTACGTATTTCACGCCATAATCATTGTTGAATTAAAGCTTATATCTATAACGAGTACCTAGCTTGAAGGGTTTTGTTGTTGTTGTTGTTTTTTGTTGTTGTTATTTTTGTTGTTGTTTTGGTTGTTGTTTTATCATTCTTGTTTTAATTTTGCACAAATTGAATATATTCGCCTATGCAATCTTGTTGTCAATGTAAAAGATAAAAATCAAAATTCTAAAAATGTACCAGAATTGACATTCTCAAAATACATATAAATAAATTAAAATAAATTATTGACCTGGAACTCGCCGGTGTTTGGATTAAGGTCAAGTAGGGTAAAGTCTGTATCTCTGTCACCATTCTCATTAACAAACACTGGTCCACCTATACCTGTTGAGACAAATGTGACACATATAATGAAGGAATAACCACTATTGTGATAAAGGAAAAATTGGAAAACATATCATGTAGGAATAACCACTATTGTTATAAAGGAAATATTTGAAAATATATAATGAAGGAATAACCACTATTGTAATAAATGAAATATTGGAAAACATATAATGAAGGAATAACCACTATTGTGATAAAAGAAATGTTGGAAAACATATAATGAAGGAATTAAAAATTATTGGGATAAAGGAAAAAAATTAATGCATATAATGAAGGAATAACCACTATTGTAATAAAGGAAATATTTAAAAAAAACATACGATGAAGAAATAACCACTATTGTAATAAAGGAAATATTTAAAAAAAACATACGATGAAGAAATAACCACTATTGTGATAAAGGAAATATTGGAAAACATATCATAAAGGAATAACCACGATTGTGATAAAGGAACTATTGAAAAACATATAATGAAGGAATAACCACTATTGTAATAAAGGAAATATTGTCAATCATATAATGAAGAAATAACCACTATTGTTATAAAGGAAATATTATAAAACATATCATGTAGGAATAACCATTATTGTAATAAGGGAAATATTGGAAAACATATAATGAAGGAATAACCACTATTGTAATAAGAGAAATATTGGAAAACATATAATGAAGGAATAACCACTATTGTGATAAAGGAAATATTGGAAAACATATAATGAAGAAATAACCACTATTGTAATAAAGGAAATATTGGAAAACATATAATGAAGGAATAACCACTATTGTAATAAGGGAAATATTGGAAAACATATCAAAAAGGAATAACCACGATTGTGATAAAGGAACTATTGAAAAGCATATCATGTAGGAATAACCACTATTGTAATAAGGGAAATATTATAAAACATACGATGACGAAATACCCACTATTGTGATAAAGGAAATTTTGGAAAACATATCATGAAGAAATAAATACTATTGTAATAAGGGAAATATTAGAAAACATATAATGAAGGAATAACCACTATTGTTATAAGGGAAATATTGGAAAACATATAATGAAGGAATAACCACTATTGTAATAAAGGAAATATTGGAAAACATATAATGAAGGAATAACCACTATTGTGATAAGGGAAATATTGAAAAACATATAATGAAGAAATAACCACTAGTGTGATAAAGGAATATTGAAAAACATAAAATGAAGAAATAACCACCAGTGTGATAAAGGAATATTGAAAAACATATCATGAAGGAATAACCATTATTGTAATAAAGGAAATATTGAAAAACAAATAATGAAGAAATTACCTATATTGTGATAAAGGAAATATTGTTAAACATCTCATGAAGGAATAACCATTATTATAATAAAGGAAATATTGTTAAACATCTCATGAAGGAATAACCATTATTATAATAAAGGAAATATTGAAAAACATATAATGAAGAAATAACCACTATTGTGATAAAGGGAATATTGTAAAACATATAATGAAGGAATAATCATTATTGTAATAAAGGAAATATTGTAAAACATATCATGTAGGAATAACCACTATTATGATATAGAGGATATTTGTTTAGTTCAGTGTATGATCGTAATATATTTCACCGAGTGAGGACCAAAAGGTATATTTCACGAGTGGCGCAGCCACGAGTGAAATATGAACTTTTGGTGTTCACAAGGTGAAATATATTACGATCTTACACTAAACTAAACAGATTTTCTTTTTATTGTATGCAAAGAAAAGTTTTAAAAAGACATTAAACCTAATACTGAATGAAAAGCGCGCCAAATAATAATACAACGTGACGTCATTTACGACGTCACGTCATTAAGTTGGTACCCAGTACTGTGCACGCTGGTATTTCACTGAAACAACGTAAGGGGTTTAAATTCAAAACAGTGAAATTATCAATTTGGTAATTATACTGTTTCAAACAGTGAAACTACCAGTTTTATATCACTGCTATATAGAGGATATTTGTTTGTTTTGTATGTAAGATTGAAATATAATTTCACTGAGTGAACACCAGATGCAATATTTTCACAAGTGGCGTAGCCACGAGTAAAAATATAATAACTGGTGTTCACGAATGAAATATATTTCAATCTTATATGTAAAACAAACAAATTTTCTTTTTATTTTATGCTTTTTAAGTTATTTTAAGTAATGTTTTACTGATTTTGCCGCGCATTCTCCTTAGTGACGTCATTATATCATGACGTCACATCATCATTTTAAAATCTAGTTCCGTTAGATTTCTCTAATTTTGTTATATTTCTAACATGATGTATGATAACATTGACTTTCTTTTCCAAAATAAGCAAAATTTACGTATGACGGCATTTATTTCTGCCAGTTATTCCATTTATTTATGATTTTCTGTTCATCCGCATTCAGATATATAGTCCGGCTACAGTGAAAATTATATTTTATAAATTTCACTAGTGGTTTATCAGAATATAATCATCTGATATATTACAATAAAACACTGGAAAGCATGAAATAAATTTCTATAAACCACCGAAAAGCATGTAATAAAAAGGAAATATTGGAAAACATATTCATTTAATTTTTTAAATTGATTCTATATCTAAACTTACCGACAAATGGTTATGTTGTTCTTGTATTTTGATTCGACAAGAACAGCATATACATACTCAAGCAAATATGAATATAAACTTATATGATGCATTATATTATAAACATGTATCTTATTAAATTAATTCAATACAATGTATGAAGTTCACTTATCTGTAAGTTTTACTAGACAGTGGTAATTTATTTAACATTATGTAAATTTGATTGTCCTTTTGTTCTGATGTTCATTTTAATTGATGATATACATTTTTTTGTATACCTTCTCCATTTACACATGTTATTGTATGTATATGCTTTACACTGTCTTGTCATTTATCATGTATCTGTTTATCCTCATGGGCCATTTGGTCCAATGGAATATTGAAATAAACTTATCAAACTTATCAAACTTATCATGATGGATTAACCATTATTGTAATAAAGGAAATATTTTAAAACATATCATGAAGGAATAACCATTATTATGATAAAGGAAATATTGGAAAACATATCATGATGGAATAACCATTATTGTAATAAAGGAAATATTGTAAAACTTATCATGTAGGAATAACCACTATTGTGATAAAGGAAATATTGTAAAACATACCATGAAGGAATAACCACTATTGTTATAAAGGAAATATTGGAAAACATACCATGAAGGAATAACCATTATTATGATAAAGGAAATATTGGAAAACATATCATGATGGAATAACCATTATTGTAATAAAGGAAATATTGTAAAACTTATCATGTAGGAATAACCACTATTGTGATAAAGAAAATATTGTAAAACATATGTAGGAATAAACACTATTGTGATAAAGGAAATAAAGGAAAACATATCATGTAGGAATTACAACTACTTTGATAACGGAAATTTAGGAATTTCAACTTTAATTGTTATAATGAAAATATCGTTTAACATATCATGTAGGAATAACCACTATTATGATAAAGGAAATATTGGAAAACATATCTCGTAGAAAAAAAACATAATTGTGATAAAGATAGAGGAAATATTGGAAAACATATTTCATAGAAAAAAAAATTATTGTGATAAAGGAAATATTGGAAAACATTTCATAAACATATCACATTATAGTGCAATCATTCCTGGCCATTTTTAAATTAAATTTTGAACAAATACGTAAATATCACAATATAACACCTCTAGTCTATTCTCATAACATTTAATTTATGATATACAGTTAAAATAATTGCTCTTGGTATTGTGCTATAGATAATGTCTTTCTTATAATGTGAGATTGTTTAAAGAGAACTCTTGTGCACATGCAAAGACCACAAAGGACCAGAATAGAAAAACAAATGCGGGACACCGGACGAAAGCACGAAATTACGACACAATGCACGCATCTACTAACCTGGAAACGTTCTATTCCACATCCTTTTAACAACTTGTGCTCCGTCTCTAGGATCTTCTCCTTCAGATAATGTCTCATTTAGCGCATGCGCATACAAGATGAATGAGTCATAGTGGCCGATGTTATAAATACTTACCTGAAAGACAGAACAACTAGAATATATAAAATGGTCTCAGAAAATATCTAAAGTCATGCTTCCATGGGAACTTGCCTTCTCTAAAGTTTAAAAGTGAAGTTTAAACATAGCCATTTTTATATATACTAAGCCATTTTTATATATACTATGATTTTAGGGGTATTGTGATGCATATTCAATACCGACCAACGCTGATGCCATGTCAGAAAACTTTATCGTGACGTTAAAAAAAGTTCAAACCATTGACAAATGATATATGACATTGTTTATTGTGTGCATGAAATATTATTGTGGAAGTTGGGGTGGGGGTGAGGAGTGGGGGGGAATAAAAGTAAAAATATCGCCATTCGTTCATTCTTTTGGGCCTGAAATGCAGATGAAATCATATGAAAATATGAGTCCAAGACAGTTACATAACTGTCGATTGAGTATAAGGTATAATTTCATACTATACTTCGTGACCTTGCCTCCATGTGTAGTAATACTCGGTTTATATATATTCCATACAATACCCCGTGACCATCCCTACATGTGAAGTTATACTAGGTTAATATAATTTCATAAAATACCTCGTGACCTACCCTCCATGTGTAATTATACTCAGTTAATATAATTTCTTGCATATCGTGCCCTCAACTAAATTTGTAGTTATAATTATATACCATACCTCATGACCTTCCCTCCATGTATAGTTATACTCGGTTAATGCCCTTGCTTTCACATCTTGTTCAAATTCAAAGAATTCTTGCGTAATTGGTCGACGAGGTCTGATGACCATGACTGACTGATAAGCCAATCTGGCTTCCTGGAATAAACGAAAATTTCAGCTTGAACGTTGCAGTGTGTTCTATAAAGATTTGACGAAATCATTTTAAATAAACATACACATAAAAAATAAATTAGTTTTTACAAAGATCATAATTTGCCTGTTGATGAACTTTAAATTACAGTACGCTAAGGCTTGTGCTTTAGAATTTGTTAACCATTAATAAATTTAAAGAGAACTGTCTCTTCAAATATCTCGACAATTTATTAAAATAATTTTGCAATAAAACAATCTGTATATCAAAAAATAAAAAGTTGGTCGTCTTTAATTACACTATATTTTTCATCTTTAATTTCCTTCATACATTTTATAACAGTGATGAGAAAACATGTAGAAAGAATTGGCTCAGGCAATTTGAAATTTGAAAATAAAGAGATGTCTTTTAAAAGTGGTTTAGACCTTTTTACGACGCTTTGTTGCATTGTTTTTCAGCTGGAAGTTTTACTTTCTCTCGTATATGTCATCTGCTTATTGCAAGAAAAACATTCATCTACTTAGAAGATTTCTCTTTATATTAGTTATGTCAAAAACGTGAACATTCTGAAATTTATGTATTGTTTTTTTTTTTTCTTTTTTGTTTTTTTTCTATTTATTTATTTTTATATATTTTTTTTCTTTTTTTTTTTTTTTTTGAAAAAGAAATGCAAAAATAGATAAGACCAAATAAATTCCGCTCGGTTTACATGGTTTAAATTCGTTGATTTGCCTATCCTCGAAAATCACGAAAATTAATGCCTAACGAATAATGATGATTTTGCAGTAGGCAACATATTTTGATATGAATTAGAGGTATACAAACTTCAGCAAAACAATGCAAGTAATAAATCTTTTCTTCCATACAATTACCAAAACTCACCGTGTCTAAATCATCATCTCTTCGCCATGTATATTTGCCGACCGGGGGATCTCCGTGAAGTTGAAAATAAAATATAAAAACGTATTCTCCATCCACCAGGCCAGACTGTCGTGCTTTAAGAACCATCTTCCTAAACACATCCCCATGACAAGATACTATGAACACTGAAATAATGAATTCATCGATGGTATGAAATTTTAAATTGAAAAAGAAAACTGAAATAAATAGAGAAAAAATAACAATGGAAACCTTTAATGTCGCGTAATAGGACTTGTGTGATACGAAGAACCAGAATGACTCAAATCCACGGTCACTGGGTCGAAAGACAGGCATTTTAACATCTAGGCTACATCTTCTACATGTATGTGGTCATCAGCGGAAATATTTGATTGAATGCTTTGGAATATACATGTTTAGGCAACGTGCACTGTACGAACCAAGTAATATTTTAAGCAAAAAATATATAACATGCGTTTGTTAACTCATTTGTAATAAACACATTTTACTGTGATATAACTACTTTGGCTAACCTGGAGGCAAACTAGAAGCAAATTAATATAATGTATACTTCAAGTCTAGAAAATGCTATAACGAACTTTAACCGTAATCTATATTATTTTTTTCAAATAGCGAAACATCAAACCTCTAGCTTTCGAAGCAGCCGTCGCTATCGTCCTGGATAATTCTGTTGTCAAATCATCTGAATGTCCGTTAAATGGTACAGGATATGACCTAATATGAGGGGATTCCTCGGAAAAACTTCGCTATAAATTAAATAATAACATCTAAGATCTTTACTTTTCTTGAGTCTAATATACATTTATATACATTTTCACAAAACATAGATCAAAAAAGAAGGGGAAACGGGCTCCTGTTTAAACACTCTGTCCCTTAACAATATATAACTAAATCATAAATCTTAAAATCTGCAGACCAGTGCCAACAAAATATATTATTATATTATTCACATAGGAACTGAATTATTAAGGTTGACACTAGTGTCAACAAGATAAAATTATTATATCATTTACTTGGATACGAGTACCAACAAGATACAATACTATATAAAATACCTGGACACTTATGTCAACAAGATATATAACTTATATTATTCATAAAGAAACTCTATCATATTGTTTACTTGGAGATAAGTGCCAACAAGACGCATAAACCTGGACGCTGTGTTATAACGATACTATAAACAGGTGAGCCAATAAGATATATAGCGCTTTCATCTATCTGTAAAATATTTCCAACAAGGTATATTGCTACATTATAATTTAAATACCTGGAGACTTGTCCCAACAAGGTTTGGTAAATACGTATTTGAATCGTAAATATTGGCTATATAAGTCCACTCAAACGCGTTGAACACCTCAATATAGAACAAGGCGAACACGTTCATCGTGAATGAGAGTCTTGACAACGTGGAAAATTCTTGTTTGTCTCCAAGTGACTCGTCCGTGCCAACATACGTGATATGAGGAATGTTCCATGAGGCCGCCATTCTCGACACCGTTTGTACTGACGGTGTGCAACCTGTAAAATTGTGAATTATATAACGTGGTAATTTTACGCTTTTATGCAAACTACGGAAAGAAAGAAATTATTCAATTACTCACAATTTGAGATACTAACAGTTAAAGGGTGCTAAGATTGCATAGAAATGCTGGATGCACTGGCGCAATTCATGTGAAGCTTAGATTGATCACTAGTGGCGCAGAATCGGTCAAACAACATAATCGACAATCGAATTGTATCAAACATAATCAACCGATTAAAATCGGTAAACAATCGAAACTATTTGTGCATATGCTTATGTGCATCTGCCAGTTGGTTATAGCCACGAAATACTACACTAGTACACTTCTTTTCAAATAAGTATTCTTTTACTTGCTTATAAAATATAATAATACATTACAAACTTAAGACTAGATATGCATATTAATTGTTTGTAAAACCATTTAAAGATCATGTAACTCATTTTTTAAGGTTTTATATCATAAATCTGATGCTCAAATGAAGATTTATCAATATTGTAAGTTCCAAAAAGCATTAATTGTAATTAACATTTCAAAATAATAAAGGGGGGTTATCAGAAATTCATTTTCTATAAAGACTAAGTCAAGTTTTTCAATAAGAAATGAATGCATATATTTTAATGATTACATATAATGTGAACACATATTTGCAATACATGTCTTACATATTCTTCGATGTTTGAAAATTGTGTTAGAAGTTTATATACATATATAAAATATAACTCAAGTGTGGTAACAACCTCAATTACAACATACAGGATCTTTAAAAAAATGAAACCTTTTGGCAAAGCATATACTCGTATTGTGATCACTTTCGGTTTCAGTTAGGGTAAATCTTCTGTAAGTATAATATCTTGGTTTTGTATTTAATATACCTTAGTATTGTATATATAATATCTTTTTAAGAAAACCTGATCAATATCGCACATTTCTGATCATGATAGCAATGTTAAAATATTCCCTACGTATGAGAATAGAAACCCCTTCATAATTACATTTTATTAAAAGTGCCTATATAAGCTCTGTATTGACCAAATAAATGGTTTTATTATATGATCTAAAAATAGCTGCAATCTCATTGGTCCAAACTGTAGTCAACATAACTTTTTATAAAATCATATTCACTGGGTGTAGTATCATATTAACTGGCTGAATTGGATTTTCCAAGTCTAAATATAGATTGAGACTCATATTCAATGATCACACATCGTAGACTGTTAATTACACGTGTAAATTAAAAAATAAATGTCGCGTTTTGTTCTTTATGGCATATTTCTCGATTGAAGTATCATAACTTTACTGTTATACTTAAAGGCTAAACCGCATCGATGAGTATAAACTTGAATTACTTTTGTATGCGCAGCGTTTGCGTAGTCGTTGCACGCCTAACACGTGCGTCTTTTTTCCCGCGCTTCAACGAGGCAAAAATTGTACATGTACATAAGGATGTACTTTTTCGTGATTTTTTTTTATTCTTAGCTAATCATATAATAAAACAATTATTGACTAGTGAGCCATTGAATATGATGTGATATTCAACGGCAGAAAGTCAAATTGACCTCGGCTATCGCCTCGGTCAATATGTCATCTGCCGGTGAATATCACATCATATTCAATGGCTCACTAGTCAATAATTGTATATTATGCCACAATCAAACACAATTCTGCCAAACAAATTATCAAATCACAAATTTCTGACTCTGTTTTTTTTAAATATTCAAACTAAGAAACACTGTAAATAATGTTTTTCAAGAAAATGTTGTTTTATTTCGTTCAAATATTGTTGACGTTTTATTTTTGATTTTTTAAAATGACATAAAACTATATTGTTAAGCAAACTAATAACAATATAAACACTGTTGTGCAGCGGCCTCCTGTAGAGTAATAATCTATTAACAACAAGATAATAAAATCTTTAATTGATATTAACCACCAAATTTCACCTCTCTATAGACCTCTCAGTAACAACCGACATATTTGTCTCAACAGAAGTTGTATTATACATGACAAAAGCATAGTGAAGCTTCCCCCATAAATATTTAAATTGTACCTAATTCTTTGCAAGGTTAGTGTATCTTTGAGGACTTATTTGAGAGATTTATTTCGACTTATTCCATGCATTTTTTTCATGCTGCAGAAAAAGAACGTACTTTAAACCTATTTTACAACAACTGGTAATGATAAAGATTATTTATGAAACAATACAAAAACAAACAGCAATAAGAACTATTCACGATCAATATCTTTAACTTGAATGCCTTTCAGAAATCTGAGATTCACCTACACTTACCTATTATTTACATGTAATATAAACTATATGATAGTTATATAAGTGCACTATCTAGTAAAGAAATATTAACAGAGATTTGATGAAATGCAATAAATGTAATACAATCTTTATTGAAAACGAATTTCATTTCAATTGTGTATGTACTATGTTATAAACAGAATATGCTGGAAACATTTACTAAATTGTTGTCACTGCCCACCCCCCCCCCCGCGCATACACACACTTACAACCCTAAATGAACGCATCTTCATTGCTCTCTGGACAAAACCATTCATTATTATAATGGGAAATTACGAAATATTCCATGCGTCAATAGTGGACTTAGAAGCGGTATACCTGTTTCGATTTCAGCAAGTTCAGAGCAAATGAAAACAATCTTGTACATGCATAGTGATGCATCCGCTAAATTACCGTGTAATATTTTATCTTAATATATATATTATGATATGCCTTAAAGGCACATTATGCCAATGAAATTATTTGTCCTTCTATAGAAATAGCAAACATGTATATTGTAATGTTATTTTTAAGGATATAACATGTGCGATGCAAATCACTTGAAAAAGTATAGCGTTGAACGTGAAAAATGCGGTACAAGTTAACAAAATATAAACAAGATGACCTCAATACCAAATTCTAAATGACTGTAATTAATTAACCAATTAATTAGTTAATTAATTAATAAATTAATTAAAAAGCAAAAGATGCTCATATATGTGGCCAAAGAGAAATTATTGGAAGCTATAACAGAACACCAAACAATAGAAAGCATTTGGGCCTTTAATTCTAATATAAAATATAAATGACAATCAATAATTAATTAATATCTCAAAGCAAAAATCTTTTTCTCAATAATGAAAGATAATATATAAATGTATTATATTCTTTGTAATTTAAGTCTTAATGAAGAATGGTCAAAAATAGCAAACTTATTTGTGCTGTTTTCATAATAACCGGCTTTTAACGTGATATATAACAAAGAAAACATTATCACATCCAGCGCTATTTAGATTTAGAAACAGTCATTTAGGTAAATATCTTATTGACTATCCAATTGTTTTCTTATGAATAATATAGTTATGATTTGACAAGTTCTATAATTACTACATATAATTATAAACAGTAGCGCGTATTCTATATTACATAGAAAATTTCTTTTATCGTGCATTGAATGCCTCACTTTGATAGAATATTTGCACGGAGTGCTCAAGTTCAGTTAGATTCGATATAAATACAAAGGTACTGGTGCAAAGAATTAATTCATTAGGTACATATCATAGTCTAGTAAGCAGTAGCCCTACACCAACCCATCCCATAGGAAAAGAAAAAAAAAACGGGGTAAAGTTGTTACATTCCGTATGTCCCCGAACTTTCGGATCAATGCGGTGGGGCTTGTTTGTGTTTTTTTCCCGAGGAATGACCAATTTGAAGTGTTCGGACTTCGGATTATACGGAAAAAAACGGGTCTTTTCAAGGACATTGAAAATCCAAATGACATGTCGATAATGGGTCTGTATTATAATTTACTAGTGCATTTCCAACTGAGAAAAAGGACAATTCGTTTAAAGAAGACATGCACACTGACAAATTAGACTTCGGACTGACAAATATACACGTGTTAGTTTCGTATATTTCTTCCATGTTAAATATCTTCCATAGACTTCCCAATCTTTCAATATCTAGACAAAACTATTCATCATTTTTTAGGAAATATATCAAAATATCTACTGACTGATTAGCTAACAGTGTAGACCATGCAGATCTCTGCTAATTGCGGCCTGCACTTGTCGTATGATTTGTCGCTGACAGGCTGAGTGTTGAAAATATTCATAAACGAGGCTGATTTAGATATACATCGTTTATACCAGCAATAAGAAGAAACATTTCACTATTTGTTAAAGAATATAAATGTCATCTCTTAAAACGATCTTCATAAAATTTATATTACTATTAGTTTGTTTTCTGTTGGGAGAACCACCGACTTTCGTTAAGCTTGCGGGGTAGCATACTTATATAAAATGATACAGTCCCTGACGGGATTCGAACCAACAGTGGTGATCGAGAAGATGCGAAGTCGTCTGTCTCTCATACAACGCATGCTAGTTGGTGTGCATACGATTGATGAGCTAAAATAAATTCAAGGTCAGCGACTTTTAATATTTGGCCATTTCAAATCATATTAAAATAACTTATAATTGATTGATTGATCGATTGATGATTTAGTTATTTATTAATTTATTTATCGATTAATTAATTGATAACTGGTTCATAATTATGATATTCAAATGAACTTCATTAGTTGTTAATACCGACCAACTGATAAGTGACCTAACTTTATTTTGATGAGATGATAATATTGTGTTTTGAATGACACTTAGATAAAAGAACTATACTAGACGTGTAATTTATACATCGGTCACATATAGGGCACATATCAAAAGTAGTGTAAAATTGTGAATGTCCTGTGAACTCATGTCATTATGAAAATACTAATTAGTCAACTTTCTACAAATTCATAACACAAACATTGTACAATGTTATTGTAGTGCGATATCTGTGAATGACCTAGCACATTTTCTGGCGTTTCCTTTGGAGACCATATAAATTATTTTAGAAAAAAAAAACATGATGTGTCGTTAGCCAGTATCACGTCATAGTCATATCCGTGAATTGCTTTATTCCAGTAAAGTATTGTGTGAAATTCTTATTTCACGACAGTGAACAGTGTTTGACATTAATTAGTTCATGGTGTTTATTTTTGTGTTTCAAGTTTTCATCCCCTAAAAAATCAATGTTATAACTACTTAGAAAATTGACGATAAAATTTTGGAAACAACATTTATTTTACTGTTCATCAGTTTTTTATAAATATCTTAAGATATATATTTTTACCTTTTTATCCTTACAACGGTAAACATCTTAAAATAAATTTGTCCAAATATTAATCTGGACAAAATAACTCACCACCATTAAGGAAAGTTTTAATATATGTACTGACAAATTGAAAACAGTACATATCTTGTTCAGACTGATTTGAGAGCTAATCTTGCCCTGTACTGGTTCCATGGGAAAAGCCAGTCAACGTTTATGATTAAAGTTGTTATGTTCATTATTATTATTTTAAAGCTTACGTATGTGCAAAGGTTAAGAATGTTGTTTTACAATGAATCCATTTCTTCTCGGGGGCAAGATTACAAAAAAAAATACATAATTCTGTTATCAAATGATAAAAATGAATTGATCTGATTCGACTTGCTTAAAATCTAAAAGACTCACTCTTACTAAATATGGAAGAAAACACTTTTCTAACAAAAACTTTGCATTATAACTAATGTATAGATTAAATCGGATATTGTATTATACAATATAATGCGTAAATATACAGATATTTCGATTTTCGCATATTTGTTATAAAGTTAAAATCTTATTCCGTTTAAATGGTGCGTGTAGAATACTAGTTTTATTCAAATTCTATAATTATATCTTAGACTACAGCTGAAGAATTGGATGTGAGGGCATAAAATCAAACAATTTTTAACCTATAATAAAATCATAATTCATTCTGTCTAGAAGACTTTAAGTCTATCCGGCAATTCTTACTTCTGCCCTTATTACTGAAGGGCATAATTTTTTTTCGGTTTGTAATGCAATGATTTCTTCCCATGAGAAGTATTTCTCGTGAAAAGTCTTTGCAATTAGAGTTTTTTTCCATACAAGACCAAACAACATGTTTCATATTCCCGACTATATATCTCATCACTTAGGTTCAGTTTGAAGAATAATACAAAAGTTTCAGAGGATATTTCATTTTTGTTACTGTATATGTTTTCCAAATTGCCTTAAAAGTTGAGGCATCCGATTAAATATGTTCCTGCTTCCACAACTTTATATCTGTGCCGCTAATTAACATTTCTTGTGTCAACATTTGCGGCATTTCTGTCACAGTATTAAAAACGGGAACGCTGATTTGAAGACAGTATTCTAGATTTGAAAAGTGATTAACATTTAAATTAAACTATGTTCAAGAAAGAACTGATATTGCTTCACAGACGTTTTAAAATACAAGATAAACATGTTTTCACTTCACACAAGTCTTTGCTTAACATTATATAGTCATTTGTGGGCACAATATAAATGTATAGTATCATTAAAATTTAAGAAAAGATCAATTTACTTTAGCTGAAACAGGGCACGCAGCTTCCCATACATAGTTTATTAGTTATTAATTTTTTATTCGAATAACACATATTCAGTTAGAATTTCATAGATTTAAATAAATCTTTCATTTTATGGGCTTCAAAAACTTTTTTAACAGCAGCTTTTTTACATTTTCTTTTTCATCTGATGCGGCATTCACGTCATGTAATAGTATATTTAAACGGAAACGCCGAAGACCTTAAGCTATGCAAGGATGAGCATAATATGTCTTTAAAATATCAGATATAAAGCATTTAAATAAAAGCAAGCTAAAGAACAAAGTTACCGTAATTCGCAAAGCTTGAAATCAAAATTAATAATCTAAAATCTTACCTGGACCAATAACCGCATGTGGGTGATATTTGTGGTACAATTCAGAAAACAAAGCTCCCCATTTGGTCGCCACACATGTTGGAACATCACACGGTGTAATCACATACTTTAGATTTGCGAGATCCTTTAACATATATCGCGTTTTATTTATAGCAATGTCTATGAGACCCTTTGTCCTGTTGATAGAAAAAGGGAAATCCAAAATATCCGAACGCTCAACAAGGACGCCGATTGTGATGTTGACACCGGATGCACGAGCCAGCAGAAGTGCACCTGTTACTATAAATAAACACCGTGTCATGATTTTTATTTTTGAAATTTTCAAAATCATAAATGTCTTAAACTTTGTCTTAGATCCGGTACATATAACAAAAACTTGAGATTGTCGTCTGCGTCGTGATCTTTCAGTATTTAATACAAGGTGTACGCAGACTTCAGCAGAATACAGATATTGACAGATATGTATTTTACCTAAGTTATAGAAAGCCACTGTCATTTAATGTATTGGAAAAATAACTTTTCAACAGAAATCATGGCATTTGTATTCACGGGGACGTGAGGACTGTAAATTTTATTTTTTCGCCTTCTTTCAAATGCCATTGTTTCATAATTTAATTAGATTTTATGGTAAACCAGTATCTTATTTCAAAATTAAATTAGCTTTCCATATAGTTTTTAATCATTGTAAACCACTATCTTATGTACAAGGCAATACATTACTTCGGGTTTGTTTTTCCACCAGCAAACACAGAGCAATCGTATATTTATAAAAAAGTCAAAGTATCTCAAACTCTTAAAATGTCTCTTCAAATTAGTAATGAAAGTATTTATAAGTGAAATGTAGACTTTATTAAAGTGAATTGAATTCGGTGTTTCAAATATCGATATATCATTTGAATATTCTGATACATGTAGAGTTCTTTATATGATTTAGAATGGTCGTTTATATAAAAAAATAAAAATGTTTTGCTCTATAACAATTTATTATCTGCACATTAGTTTGGTTAGGTTTAGTCTTTTTGGGTTTTACGTCACATCGACACAGTATAGGTCATATCGCGAAGTTCAAGCTTTACTGGTAGAGGAAGACCTCATGTGCCTTTCCGTGCATTATTTCAGGCACGAATGGGCACCTGAGTAGAACCACCGACGTCCCGTAAGCTAGCTGGATAGCTTCCTCACATGAAAGAATCCAAATTCCCTGTCGGGATTCGAACCCACAGCGGTGAGGGGCAAGTGGTCCACGACCTTAACCACTCGGCCACGGACGCCCTATCTGCACATTAAAGCTGCATGAACAAATATTTCAGACAAATCAAACATTAGAAAAATAAACTAAGATTAAAAAAAAAAGTAAAAAGAAAAAAAAAATATATATATATATAATTAAGATGATAGGTGCGATTTACTTGCCCGTTATCCCTCATGTACAGACTCAATAAATCGAGTCTGCAATATTCATGTAATTTTGTTGTGATTAATGCTTCCGAGGGTCACTTTGTTTCTAGATTTTTATCATCGATTTTGCAATATCCATTTCTTCTTCGTGACTTTTAAAGCAATGAGGGCCTTTTGCATGTTTTGACCTCTTGTAAGTAATTCACGTTATGTGGATTGTAAGTACTGTTTGCAATTAACAGCCACCGGAAAATCTTTGCACCACAGGGATAGTGGCAAACTTCACTACCATTTATACATGTCCTAAACACTTAAAATCATTTCATCCGATAAATTTATGTTAATTATAAATAATTGATTTAATTTGAAGCTATTTTATATTTTTTTCTTATCAAAAATTGTATTTTAAAAAAATTGTCCCGGTGGAAATTCATGTATTCCGCCCGGAATTATGCTGTCCGGCCGGAATTTACTTATATTCCAATTGCAATTTTTTTCCAACATTTTTATTTATTCCAACGGGAATTTCAATTTTTAAAGTATAAAATAACCGATCATACATCCTTTAATGACTTTCTGACTAGTTTTGAAGAACTTATTCTCTAAAATAAAAAAAAATCCCATTTTGAAAGCTGGAAAAAAATCCGACAGGAGTTTTACAGAAAAATTTTAATAAGTATAAAATCGATAATAATTATAGGCAAATGAAAGTTTTTGATAGAAATTAACATAATTATACACGCTGAATTACCAATCCGATTGGATTTATTTCCAATTATTTTTGTTGGAAAACATTCTAACTGGACTTTTTTCCAATAAAAGTTATCTGGATTTTCATCAAATGATTCATTTTCAAATCATTTTACAGTTATCCATTTGATTTCCTTTTAATAAGAGATTACAAATATTTTACAACTATGATGATAAATAATAATAATAATAATAATAATAATAATAATAATAATAATAATAAAAATAATAATAATAATAATAATAATGATTATAATAATGTTATCATAATGATTATTTTTAGCATTAAAATTATTTTAATTATGATTATTATGATAATTATTATTATTATTATTATTATTATCATTATTTTTATTATTATTATTATTATAATTATTATCATTTATTATTGTTATTATTATTAATTTTAATTCTATTATTATTAACATTATAACCATTATTATTATCATCATCATTATTATTACTATTATTATTATTATCAATATTATTTTATTATTATCATTTTAATTATTATTATTAATATTATTATTATTATTGTTATTATAATTATAATCATATATTATGATAATCATCATTATTATTATTATTTTTATCTTTATTACTGTTATTATTATTATTTTTATCATTATTATTATTATAATTATTATTGACGATGATGGTGGTAGTGCTGTTATGACAGGGATGATTATTCTTCTTACTCTTATTATCACTTTTATTATTATTATTATTATTATTATCATTATTATTATTATTATTATTATTATTATTATTATTATTATTATTATTATTATAGTGATTATTTTTTATTTTTAGTATTAAAATTATTATAATTATTATTATTATTATCTTTGTTATTATTATTTTATTTTTATTTTTTTATTATTGTTATTATTATTATTTTATAAATATTGGTATTATTATTATTACTATGTTATGATATTTATGATTATAATTATCATTATAATCATTTTCATTATTATTATCATTATTATTATTATATTATTATTATTATATTATTATTATTTTAATCATTAATTTAATTTTTATTATTATTATTTCTTTTTTATCATTAATAAAATTATTATTATCATTATTATTATTATCATTATAATCATATAGTATGATAATCATTATTATTATTATTGTCATTTTTTAATAATAATTATTATTATTATTATTATAATCATATATTGTGATAATCATTATTATTGTTATCATCATTTTTTTAATTATTATTATTATTATTATTATTGCTGATGGTGGTAGTGCTGTTGCGACAGGGAAGATGATCATGACGATGATTACTCTTATTACTCTTATTATTATTACTTTTGTTATTAGTATTATTATTTTTATTATTATAATTGTTATTATTTTCATATTATTATTATTATTATTATTATTATTACTATTATTATTATTATTATTATTATCATTATTATTTTTTTTATTGTTGTTGTTCTTGTTGTTGTTATTGCTGTTGTTATTATTCCATTCTTATGAAAAAATGTTTGCGAAGCTTCTTTTATAATATTTATATTCTACCAATATCTCATATGTGGTTGCAAAAAAACAATTTATATTGATCAACAAATTATGAAATTATAATAATTATTATCTTATTTAACAATGTATTTCTATACACTATCATAGAAAAGCGGGAATGTATCATTTATCGTAATGTATATACGCCGTATGTTTCCCTACAATAGGATTTATGTTTAATGAAGATACTTTTCTGAATAAATCAACACATAAAAATTAAAAATTATGAAAAACACCGATTTGCTTGTATTGTCCGAAAAATCCCTGCATTTCTGAGGTATAGCATAGAACAACGGACAGATATATCTATAGTCGCGTTTATTTATCTTAAAGAATACATGTGTCCCTAAAATATGGAATGTGTTTCAAAAAGACAACTTTACAAATAAAGTCAAACTTGATTATTGAAAATTATGAAATACACCGATTTTGTCTGAATTTGTCCGACTTTTCTAAAATTATAACTTTTCTCTCCATATATAACTGGTCAGCATTTTCAACATATTATGTAATAATATATTTGAGACTATTCTGTTTATTGTATTTTGTTCGCTGCCATATGAATGCATCTGCGTTTATAATAGACAAATTAAGTAATAACACGTGTGTAAATTGTTACGACATTGGGGCAAGTCAGTCTCTATATTGTGTATTTTGTAGGTGCGAAAAGATAACAAGGAAGTTTTATGCGCAATTTTCATTTATTTTCCAGTCAGACTTCCTAATGGACAGTGAACACACACAAACAAAATAGTTTAAAATAATTTGCAATTATTCCATTAAATAATTAATTTTCCGGCTCATCACAATTGATGAAAAAGATAAAAGAACCAAAACAGACTGGCTGCATTATGTAAAATCCTAAATAAGAACAACCAAAATAAATAACCTGGTTGCATCATAAATAATGCATAAGAAGCTGATCACATGACGAAGTACCTAGATAGAAGATCCGAAATAAAGCCGGTTAAAATATGTATGTACCTTGATATAAGAACAAAATCGAGCTGACCTCTTAAAAGCACCTAAAAATAACAACCAAAGTAAACAAACTGGCTGTGAATGAGAGAAGATTTGAGAACAATGACAAGATGGCCGCATTTTGAAAGAACCGAGATATAAGATCCGAAAAGAAGCTTGTCACGATATAAACAAACCTAGTTACAGGAACCAAGACAAATAAACAGACTGCATTATGAATGGACTTTTACTCTTAAATATTCAGCATGTTACACTTTCTTTTCTTTTGCAGAAATATTGATAGGTATATTGACCACAGGTCAAAAGGTCGCTTGTGAGGTTCTCCCATTCATATGACATTTACAAATCTTCCAAAGCTCTGGCTACACATACAAAATAAATAAAAATAAATGCATGCATGAATGCATCTGCGTTTATAATAGACAAATTAAGTAATAACACGTGTGTAAATTGTTACGACATTGGGGCAAGTCAGTCTCTATATTGTGTATTTTGTAGGTGCGAAAAGATAACAAGGAAGTTTTATGCGCAATTTTCATTTATTTTCCAGTCAGACTTCCTAATGGACAGTGAACACACACAAACAAAATAGTTTAAAATAATTTGCAATTATTCCATTAAATAATT